AACTCATCCACTGCATCACGTGGTACCGCCTAACTTTCCCCACAGACCTATAAAGTAATGCACATGAGTTGCTTGTTTCTTACTTTGTACGACTGAATACCATATCTGTCTGACCAAGAGCGAAACCAACCTCTGGAAGCCTTGAAGTCATTATGCTGCACTCATTATGCTAGCTGGATTGCCTTCTTACGTACGATGCTCTCCACCATTGGGTACTCTCCGTCCTTTTCCCTCATAGCGATAAACCAAGCCAAAGTTGCCTCATTCACTGCCTTGAACTTTTAGTTGGTTTTCAGGTGGCATCTTCCCTCAGATGCACCAGCGATCAAAAATTCCCCGATAGTCGTTCGATGGGATACAACATTGTAGACAGTTTTTCGTGAAATCCCAAGTGACTTGGCTACGGAGCTCTGAGTTGCACCTGGCTGTTTCAGCATTTCCAACACATTCTGCTTCTCTCTGATCGAAAGGCTCTTCACATTTTGACGTCAAATGACACTGTCTCCGATCTCTTGCATCGGTGTGACTTCCTCGCTAAGATTATCCAATCAGTGAACGGTGCCATGATCGCGTCACACTAGATGCAACCCTATTGGTTGAGTGCGACATTTCAGGGTGGGTGGTCAATGGTCGTCCCGAACATCGGTCAACGACCAAGTGAGTACGTATCAGGAACTGCGACATATTGAGGGGTGCGACATCGCATAGTCAGAAACTACGTTATTAGACATACGATTGATTTGGGTTTTCGAAAAATTGGGAAGATATTGAAAAATGCGACTTCTCAGGGGTGCAGGAGATTGACTGCACTTTACTTATATGGCTTCATTCGTATTTTCCTTTGAAAACCCATATGTGTGCTCTGTTCATGACATGTAGTATGTCATAGACCCGGTCATTTGTTCAAAAAATTAACAAACGTTTGACATTTATAAACAACCTCTTAAACAGAGATGTTCGAACATTCATCTATGATTAAAGAGTTTTGTATATTAATGAGACAACGATGTGACACAAAGCTTTGGGTTTGTGCAATTGGTAATGAACGGTATCAGTAACTGTATCACAGGTCAGGTTTGATGAATAAGTCAACATATACTCCAGACAATGGAATAACCGAGCATTTCGTTCGCATTTCAGGGAGTTGTTTTGAGACAAGCCAGAATCATTGCGATGATTCTGGTTGGAAATATAAGACTAAGTTGAGAAAGGCGTATCGGGTACGTATATTTGATGAGTAAAGAAATCCGTGAGATAAGCCGTGTGCTTCCAATTATCCAATTTTTTCAAATATTACTTATTTTGAGAATGAAATTCAGTTAGAGATAATAGGGTGAATTTTGTGTCTGATCGCCTTTCTGGCTATACGCAGACTTTAGTCTGATTGTACACGGGCGGTAAGTGAGGTGTTTGTGAGGCAAAATGTGTGACCATCTATATTCTCAGGTTCGTGTTTTAACACAGTAGGGGCGAGTTTTGTGTGTTAATGTGTTCTTATCCTAGGGTGTCCATTTTCGCTTGGAGCCGCCTTCATACTTGTACAAGTGCATTGAAAGCCGTAAGTGACCTGCGAACTGCGACAAAGCGAAATTCTTTTCTGATTGTCAAGACAACACGTCTGATAAAATATGTTTACTATTTGGAGTTTGAGCGAACCTATTTTGTTTGTTCCAGTGGTGTAGCTGTTTTGGTTTTTATCCCTTTCAAGTCACGATATCGAAATGTTTTTCCATGATCATGTATTGTGTTCTGCTATATATCCCCAACCTCCTCTGTCTTTCACCTGACTAGCATGATCTAGAGCCTCGTTCGGAAACGAGTCAAATAGTTAAAACAAATGACTCGGAGAAGTCCACTGCCTCACTACCTCGTGTAGCGGAACACTCACCCGATGTGCCGGTTGTCAGCGTTGAATCAGTTCCAGTCAGTGGGGTCGTACAATCTGGGGTTCTCCGCGCAAGCCCTGACACCCTTCATTCCGACACTATTCAGATCCAGACACCGGAAGTCAAATTGGAACCAGTTGGAAGAAACTCGCTTTATCAGGTTGCGATGTATGAAGCACGCAAACACGAGCTGAATGCCATTCAAACAGATTTGCGAGCTCGTATTCGATCAGAACAGGCGGAAATTCGGCAAATTCAGGTTTGTTTGTTTACGTGACACGTTCATTGAAATGCTACAACTGGGTATTTTCGTGGACTTTGTTGGCATCGTTCGGCCGAAATCATTTTAGTTCCAATCTTCCTTTTGCTCTTTTATCCAAATGGTCAGACAGTATTCAAAACCGCCACATGAAGGTGCATTGTTGTTAGTTGTAAAAGACGAATCGATCATTTACTGATCACACCGATCACGTAGCTTTCGCTTTTAGTGGTGAGCACACACGCACGCACTATTCCATTAACTCTTCTATACACCTCACTCAATCGGTTGCATCAGCAAAAGCAACAATGTTTCTTTGTGTTCATAATGCAGCTATTAGTTAGGTGCCGATGCGATTACTTGCTACCAGGTGTTCAAAAATAATACGATCAAAATATTTTCCAGACCATATTTGAGTCTCTGTGAGTCATGAACAGACTGCAATCATTGGCAACGGTCATACATGTTCCATATGCGTTGGGACAAACTGTCATGTAATGCTGAAGTTAAGTACAATTTTAGGCGACCGTGGTCATACACTTACAAAAGTGATTGATACCCGTGGTTTAAGGTTGTTGGGGCTTGTGTTAGATCAGATATACTTCCTTGGCTTCCAGCGTTTGTCAAAAGACAGGAACCAAGGNAATACAGTCTTTCTTGTTGAATAAACTGAACCGAACTCCTGTCCTAATGCATTTCAACTACATGATTGAAAACCGTTGTTAACCACTACCTCACAAATGTTCGGTGTGCATCGTAAAACTATTTTCATTTTCCTTGTTCTCCATTTGTTTCGGGCAGTAGATCCGGATCCCATCGATCAATGGAGGTATCTCTTTAGCGTACAGTCTCATTCCGGGTGTGAATAATCATCCTCATATCTTTCATTTTATTTTCTTATTGATCATACAATGATACAATTTTCAATAAGGGAAATGTTAGTTGTTTGTCGAATGGCTGTCATGGAAACTCAGGCGACGGTTGTGGAACTCAAAAAGACACATCTTCCAAGTGATGAGTTCTGGTGTAAGTCCCACTTGACGACGGCTGGTGGCAGTTTCGGACAATAGCCTCGTGGTTATTGATCAAGTTTTGGTGCTTCCGGATGAAGAGAGAGCTGTTTTATTTTGATAGATGCCGTTAAGAGGAACCCTCAAGATGTGAGCTTTAATTTTGTTTTTCCAACGGGCAGAGGGTAAATCGTCGATCGTGGAATTCCAATCGGACATCCGGAATTTGGTGCGCACTTTGTCCCATTGCGTTTTTTTCCACTCTACTACGAAGTAATGTTATATAAACAGGTTCACTCAAGAATTTAATGATCTGTTGTTATCAGCAGGATGTTGCGCGGTTAAATGAGAATATGAACTATTTAGAACCTATCAACTGAATACACCACATTGAAAAGAGCATTACTGTACGGTGAGATGCTCCGGTTCTATTCTGTGGCATTACACGTCGCACTGAGCTTGGTAACTGTTCGGGAAATGGTAATCCCAAATGGCAATCCCTGTCCTTAGGGGCCAAGGTTTGAACTCAATCGCCCTTCTTAGATAATATTCAGCTTCTTTAGAATCCGAAGCATTTTGTCAATAGTTCGTTTGGGATCTTCGATTATGTACCGCTTTTGTGATCGCGACTTGCGTTAGGCTATTATCCATCGACCTGCATCTGCTTCTTTCAACAGTTTATCCCTCCTCCGGTTCACCAACTTTTGTGTACTATCATAAAGTCCCAAACGATTTTGTTTCCATTACCACACAATCAAAAGCTTCATGCAACCTGATCAGCCCAGCTCACCGATAACATTTTCAGAACGGATGCCAAAGCTGTTACTGTCGGTAAAGGTTAAAACGTTGGCGGGAAAGCTTAATATGTTACCTGGGAACGCTGAACGGAACATCGGTAGTCACTGAAGCGGTATGAGTCTGATTAATCCAAAAGTGGCGTACTGTACACCCTCTCTTCTAATTTTAGCAATCTCTCACTGATTAGAACTGGCTCTTATTTCGCATTTTTTCCTAATCATACGAAATTCTTCCAGATACATTTGTTCACGACTTTTATTAAATTACTGTGTTTCGTATTGGGAGTTATTTAAGTTAGCTAGAATTCAATCTACGCTATGTTCTCTCCCACTTTCTACCTCTATTAGAAGCATACATTCACTTTGACTGTTCTCACTAATGCTAAGGGAAATCCATCGATATGTTCCCTTTGGCCATCCTATTTTTTACATTTTAATAATGGTGATTTCTCCAGCAATAAAACTGAGATTTTGACTTGGATCTTTTAGAGTACTATCATTCTGGGGTATCTGTTTCGCACGTTTCTTCATCCCCCCTTAAATCATATAGTCTCGTATCAATCATCTGCTCGAAACTGGAGGCAGCCGTGTACGTCGGTTATACGAAGCACAATTCGCCCCGGTCGATCGTTGCTTGACTCCCGGTGCTCCCATCACCACCCGAAACTCTCTCGATCAATCCTGTGTGTGGCTTGCTCGATCGTGGACCAGAATCGCAGACCTGTTGAACTCCGACGCCGGTCACCTGACGGATGAACGTGAAGTCTGTCTGATAGGTGATGATGATTCTGACGAATCGGATGGCGCATCTTCGTCATCATTATCATCGTCGGGTCAATCCAGCGCAGCGCCCAGATCGCGGCAACGAACCCATGTCCCGCGGCCGAATTCTGGTCGATCACAAAATCATACCCCTGTATCCTATGTTCGTCTGGTCGATCACGATGATGATCGCGAGGGAAATCACGATGATGAGGGAAATATAAAACAACCTGTTGTGCGTGAGAGTGATGAGCAGAAAGACGCCACTGATCGATCAGGCACTGCATCATTCGCAAAGGTCGTCGTTGGCTATAACTCACACATGGATTCGGCCATTCCGGATACCGTTGTAAATGTCGTTGATTCTGGTCCTATTGAGGATAGTAAGGAAGAAGAGGAAGAGGAGGAAGAAGATGACGACGAAGAAGGCGAAGCGGAATTGGCTCGTACCCTGCACCAACTGACTTTGGACAACGCTCGGTTGGTTCAGCTGAATGCTCGTTACCTGGAGGGCATTCAAGCGGAGAGAAACCGCTGTGCGGAATTGAAAGTGAGCTTCCATCTATATTACATAGATATATATTACAAGAAGTAGTATGTGAATGATTGGACAGAATTTCCCTGAAAGTGTACGACCGGTTTCGCGGTTCTTGCCACACGTCACGCATGCGTATCTGGTAGCCTTTTGTCTTTTCATTCATATACTTGCACTCAGCAAATGTATTTTTTTCACAGTGACCTCATTTGCAACCCCGGGTAAATTCTTTCACATACTACTTATTGTAAAATATCAAGTAACATTACTTAAGCGATGTTTGTCGCGTTAGTAGCATCCCACTCGCCTACAAGCATCGAATCATAGTATTGATTCATCAGTGGACTGGTTATGAAAGAGCCGTCCATAAAAATCATCCGGTGTTGCAAATGAGGTTATTGTGACTAGGACTGGAAACTCATAAATATGACGAGTTTCACTCGGTACTGATCCAGCCCAACACCATTCATTCTTCTATTTCTTGGCACATGTGGTTCGTCTTTCTTAGTGCGGCAACATTGTTGTACTTTATCATACATCCTGCAGTGAGACGATCGTGGTACAAGTATCTACGAGTATATGTGAGAAAGCAGTGTATCTTGGTTATTATTTTGTACTACTTGGTTGCCCAAGCCACACTGGGACTTTGACTTGGGCTTGCTCGAGCTCCGACCGCCGTTCTCTACTCCACGGAGTAGTGCAGTAGTCGTACTCCAAGTTCTCATTATATTCACTGAATTTCTGTCCCACGTGTGTTCTCTAGATGTCGGAAATTTCTCCACGATCTTTATTTTCGTTTCAGGTACTTCTCAAGCTACGCAATATTCGGAATACTTGCGCGCCATTTCATTTAAAAGAAACATTCACACCGGTCACGTGAATTTGTCACCTCCCTATGTCAGATTTTCCCCTCCGCCCTGTACCATGTATGCATTTTCTTTTGATTTCTTTTTTTTCCACAAAATCGGAACGCTGATCATGATTTTTTCAGTTCGTTCTCATTGTTGACGTCCTATTCTCTGGCTAACTTAAAGGCTGTCCAAACACATGAGTTTTGTGTGTTCCTCCTCCCGGCCTAAGTAAAATGAAATCCTGTAGTGGGAGATCACAGAGTAAAAACCAGTGGTAAAGTAGTCACCTCGTTATCCGATGCGGTTGAAGCTCCTCGCGATCAAGAACCGATACCAGATTCTTAAGAGGCATATTCTGGGAGGTGGGTGAATGTTTGCGGACACAATCGGCACTCCTTAGTTAGCCCTCACTAATTTCGCGAGAAACGAAACAAATTGGGAGTTCTTTGCCCGTGCACAAGCCTCGTCCTCATAACCAGCTGCGATTATGGTGTTTTCTCGACGCAATTAAAAAAGATTGCTTTTCTTGGTCACACGGTCCAGAAAGGTTCCATTCATTGATGTCTGTTTATGCGTACGTAATGAAAACACATGGGGAACCAAACCGCACAAATAGTCTGCTATACTAGAGGGACCATTCGTTAGGGAATCTAGGGCTAGAAGGGCCATGGGTAGACGGCGTGTTTATCATGCTGCAGATTGTAGGTCCACATAGTTGGTACATGTAAACTCCACCTCTCGAAACCATAACACAACCGATCGTAGTCGGATATTACAGCGAAGCAATTAGGGATAACGTATTGCGCGGGGTGGTATAAGTTTAATGACCTGGTGGTTGCTGCGGTTTGTAAGAAGCTGACACTAATATTCGCTAACGTTCTTTCTCGATTGCCGTTCCAGTTCGGTTCAGTTTAAACAACCATTAAGCATGCATTTCCGTGTGACGCTTTTAGTTGCTTTCTTTTGGCTGCCCATTTGGGTGAACAATAGGAGGAAAACAGGAAGGTTGAAACTAGGATCGAAGAGAAAATTGAGAAGTTCAGTGGACTAATGATGCAGAGAAATTGAGATGCACGAACGCCACTGTTTACGACACCCAGCCATATTACTCAATGTGTCTAACCATCGGTTACGATCATCCCGAGGTCCCCAGCCAGAGAGCCTATGTGACCTAGTCTCCTAGTTAGGGTTTTCATACCCTCGTGCCAGGTCTTATCTTAAATAGAAATGGAGAAAGAGGGCAACCCTGACGAACACCACTTTCCGTGGTGAACTCGGGTGAAAACGTGCCGTAAGCTCGGACTCGATTCGTCTATGAATAAAGAGGGATCGCAATTTTGATATTTACTTTCGGGCACACTTCCGGGAAATGCAGAGCCGGAGTTTGGAGCGCTCGACTGAGTCGAAAGCAGCTTTCAGATCGAGGAAGACAGAGTTGTTTGGTCTACGAAAGGAGTGTCGATCAGGTCAGGTTGCACAAGACGGTAAAGGCTTTCGCCAACTGAGCGTCCAGATTCTTGCCCCAGACGGGCCCAACGTTCTTCCGGAGCTCCAACGTCTTGTCGACCGTTTGACCACAGCCTATTTCTTCGTCCGGAACAGCCTCACTTTTCGGGTCCGTATCTGCAAAGGGAGGTTATTCGAAAATAAACAGTATGAAACACCTGATGTCTATAATAGGAACCCTACAAAATCTCTGGATCGAGGCTTATCCAGACCCCATCTAGTTGCCTTTTGAACTCATTGACTGTCTTACAGTCTAACAGTGAGGATGGTAGTTTGTTCCACTGGTCTATCACTCTACTCGTGAAGAAGTTTTATCATAGGTTGAGTCTGTTCCTGGACTTAATTAGCTTCAAATGATGTCCCCTTGTTGACTCGAGCGCTGCTCGGGTAAGCAGGCTGTCTGCCTGTAGCCCAGTCAGCCCCTTGATTACTTTGAACGTTTCAATGACGTCGCCTCTCAGGCGTCTCTTCTCCATGGAGAAAAGCCCCAAGGATTCCAACCTCTCCCTATATGATTAACCCCTCATTCCCGCTATCATCCTAGAGGCTAACTTTCGCATCCTCACAATGCAATTGATAACTTTTACCATTAAGGCGCCCAAGCTTACACGTGGTATTATAGTGACTATGATTGTACGAAGAAAAGGAGAAATCCACGCAGGAGTTTTCCGTTCATATTTTTTTCACAATCAACTCTGCCTCCAACTGTGATACTTCGCTGTTTTACTACTGCTTATGTTTTACTGAGCACGGTTTTCCGTTCAGGTGTATATATAAGCTGGGTCCTGTTTAAACCCACGCAACACGTGTGACACGCTTTCACTTTGCTACTGCAGTTATTGCTTGTATTGTTTAGCGTCACCTCGGCACGCATTCGGTACTATCTAGTACCATGATTCGCCAATAAACGTCTACGACTCCCACATCGGGCAGCGAAACACTAGAAGGTTGCGCGTAATTTGAGATTCGTGAGAAAAGTTATCGGCAGGCCGTCAACGCCGGTTAGCTTCATTGGTGAGCTCGCAATGTCTACTTTATAAGTCAAATCCGATTCGGTTTGCACTTGTTTCTCACGAATCATTTTCATTTGCACGATATAATTATTTATCGCAAATGTACGATGGCCGATGAGTGTCCACCAGTAGACGATAGGGAACTGGACCTATTAGCTATTAGTTTTAAGCCAGTAGCTTTGATCCCTCACGACCCTGAGATGTGGTTTGCTGCGTTAGAAACGCATTTTATCGCCTGTAACGTGCGGAGCCAGCGCTCCAAATACTTGAACGCGGTAGAGGCAATCCCTGGCGACCGAATGTCCGCCATTAGGGATATTATTCTTAAACCGCCGGAGAAGAACGCGTACGACGTTCCGTAGGCTGCAATCCTTCAGTTCTACACCCCCTCTAACGAGGAAAGGTTACGTTCGTCGCTGGCTCGTCACCCGATTGGTGACACGACGCCAAGCAGGCATCTGGCGCGTCCACGCATGTTACCCGGCCCAACAAACGCCGACTCTGACATCGTCAAAGAGCTGTGCCTCGAGTCGTTGCCACGTCACGTCCAGCCGACGATAACGGCTTTGCTGGAGGACTCCTCAGTCGACAAACCTGCGTCGATTGCCGACAAGATAGTTGCATGTGTGGGTAATGAGGGTAATCTCCTCGTTGCCACGACATCGCAACCGTACAGGGGGAATAGGGATAAGTATGCGGCCACCGCTTGTCCTTCAAGGACAGAGTCCCGGTGCCCACAGAGAACCTCTACAGGGCTAAGCCTGGGCTCGAACGGGCAGCACAGCTTGCGCACGCTCGCCAAAGGCAACCAAACCACAAAATCCACTGCAGCACAAACCACTCAAAGCCCCGAAATACCCCATGGAGAATTACTGCTGGTTCCATCGTTGCCATGAACCAGGAGCTCGCATTTGCAAGAAACCCTGCACCCACGGAACGGGAAAGGAGTAACCCGGCGAGTAAAGGCGGCCGTATTCGTTAGCCAGCCTGTCCAGATTGACCGTCTGTTTTTCGTACGTGACCACCAAGCGAACTCTAGGTTCCTCGTAGATACGGGAGCCCAAGTTTCAGTCTTTCTCATCGGTAGCGGCAAGCCACGAGCTACGACGCTTCGGCTATGCGCTGCGAATGGTACTCCCATTCCTACTTTTGGAACAAGACAACTAACGGTCAACCTGGGTGGGCAACGACGATATCCATGGACGATCATTCTTGCAAATGCTCTCACTGGAATACCGGGCATCGGCCATCACGACGAGACTGCACCTTGACGCGGTGTAATGGCTTGCGTGCCTCCATGACCCTGCGAGCTACACAGGATGGCTTTTCACAGCCGTAGGTCTAATCATGCCTGAAAGGTCAACGGGTAGTGGCCAGACGAAGCTCAGCCTCACAAGCCAGCTGCTTGGGCACCTCCTGGTTTCTTTCTTCTGTTCACATCTACCCCTGGAGAGGTCACCCCAGTAAAAAACACGGTGAGGGACAGTTTACCTGTCAAAAAACCCGCTAGATGGACATAGGAGCGGGGTACCTGGGGCTTCCTCTCGACGGT